TATATGCGAGTTCTAACACTTGTGTCCCCTTCAAAGTGATTCACAAGTGTATCCCAAGCTTCCTTAGCTGTCTCACATACTTGTATGATTTTGAACTGATTAAGATCTACAGCTCCAATATGGCTGACACTGCCTTAGAGTTGAACTTGGATGCATTCTTATCTGTCTCTGTCCATTTTTCTTTCGGTTTTGGCTTCACAGTAGTTTTAAATGGTATATTCTTGTCTTCAGAGTTTTCTTCAACCAAGATCGTAGGTGCCTCCCAACCTTCAACAACCGCCGTCCACGCATCTGCATCAATGCCACAGATGATATGTAACATTTGTGCCTTCCAATGTCCAAAGTTTCCTGCATCAAGTATTACTGGTCTCTGAACCGCAATGAGCTCCTTCATAGTATCCATGACTGCCACAAGATCTCAACCTGTTGTTTAGATCAGTAGATCTAAAATGTGACCTGCTATGATACCAAATGTTAAATCAAGGATCCTAGAAAGTTATGCAAATCAGAACTTAGCAGGACACATATGTAACTGAAACAATACTTTATTAGAAATTGCTTAAACAATCTTTGCAGACTTGTTTAATCAGAATTATACACCATTACACAATCCTAAAGACCTGTAATGTGACACTGACAAACTTCTAACCTACCCACACAGCAACAGCTGAGTTTGCTCGATGAGCTCCTAAACTTTCTTTTGATACACAGAGTTCTCTATCCCGTTTAAGTGCTAACCCTAACATCATCATAAGAGTATCATATATATAATCTCTTAGCCACGTCACACTTGCCAAGTGTTCTATGCATCACATATTCACATGCTGTCGAATATGGCAACTTCAATATCTTCCTTGATTCCCACGTATTCAGTTGTTGTAGCACTCCTGTCTTCGCGCCTCATGTGTTTGACACACTTTCCAGATGTTCCACGATTCTCCATCTTACATTATGAACTAGATTATGTCCAATTGGATGACAACCTAGGATCCATTTAAAAGGTGTGTCACGAGATCAAGTTGAAAAAGCATCAAGAGGAATGGGTTTTAAGTCTATGACTTAAAAGGAGGTTTGATGGTAGCCCCACCTACATGACTGGAGATCCCAAGAAATAGGTTCAAAGGGAAAACTTAGTCAAACTAAATCAACTAAGAGCATTGTGAGACTATGTCTCTGCTCAGTTCCTAGGATGATAAACAGTGCTACAGGTATGTGTATAGGATAAGCGTAAGTTTCTAATGATTTGAGTTCATAGCTTTGAGATAAAAGTGAAGTAGTACAGGCTACTCTATTGAACAAAGCTAATGGAAAATCATCTTGTGAGTAAAAAAATGGTCGTTTCTAGGAGAATGAAGGAAATGGTATATTCTCCAAATCCACTCATCATTAACCATGCATGTTCAAGTCCCAAATGATCATAGTAGAGAACATATTTATGAGAGATAATGAAGCTGTGTTAGAGTTATTGTCTAGGTTTACATCAAAGCAGGTTTAAGATTTCATGTTCACCTCCTGGTCGAGTAAATCCGATAGCTATTCACAATGATTGGTTTAAAGCTAAAAAATGCTACCAACTCATATACAATGGACTTGTCACTTGTACTCTCAAAAATGTTTTATTGAGTCTTTATATGTTTCGAGTTATTTCTATTCATTTGGAGGATTGTTGGAACTCAAATTTAAGGCATGTTGTATAGGTACATTTCCGAACAACTCCCGACATATTCTCGAGAGAATTACCGGATTATGAGTGTACTCATATGTTAAAATTGGAGTTTGTTTGAATGATAAATGTTTGTCTAATGTTTGTTGCTTGAAAAGCACAAAATAGACTAGTAGAAATTATGGAGAAGTCATAACAAAATTAAAGACCTTAGGACAATTATAGAGAATAGTGAATCCATGCTAAACCGGATGCGCGCATACTGAAACGAGTCAAAAGTGTTTCTGGTATTCAATAGTTAGTTAATTAAAAAACATTACATGTAAAATTTGTAACGTAGAATTACAAGAAAATAAAATTCTAGATGTTAATGATTTGATAATGGACGGTAATAAGCGTAATGAGGAAGAGGATGAGCGAAAATCATGTACATAAATTTTTAACATGAATCTTGAGAAGCAGAGAAATCATATACGCATAATGAATATGAAGAGAAAGAAAAAAATTATTTGATTGGAAAGAATTAATATATTCAAAAGATTCAAATTGCATATATATCCAAATTTTTAACACAGTAAAACAGAAAACATAATTGATGAAAATCTTAAACTACAAGATAAGTAGGATTAATATTGCTTTCGTAATAGATTCCTTAAGTTAAATATTTTAATTGAAAACAAATAAAAATTAAAACATAACTTTTAAATTTCAATTTTATGTTTTTTATATATTTTTTCACCAATTATCCTATTTTGTATTTTGTATTTTTTATAAAATTAAATATTAATTTAATATTTTATTATTATAAATCCGTGAAAATCTAATATATAAAATAACATGTAAAATATTTTAATAAAATATTCAAAATTAAACAAGTTGAATTTATCTTATTTATACGAACCAGTTTAATTAATTTCACAATTTGAATACATAAACAATTAGTTTAAAACTTTAAATTCAAAAAAAAAAGTTTTAAGGAAACTAGTTTAAATGCATCCTTACCCACATGAGTTAAAAACTTGAAAGAACATATAAAGGAATCCGCGCTTCAATACAACCTGGATTACACATCTCATACCAACTCAACTAGTCTTTTAAAGTAATAACTAGATTTTGTATCCGTGCACTTGCACGAGTTTCTTTTCATAAAATACTTTTAGGTCATACCAAAAATCAGTTTATATTAAACATTTGTTAAAAAAAAAATCAGCTTATATTATTAAATTCAAAATTGTGGCCCAAACAGGAATGTTTTATTAGATTATATAAACTATTTTTACATTATGGTTTTATGTTCTTAAAATTATTTAGGCTTGATTTTTTAAAATATATATTTTAATTAGCAGATTTTCGGTTAAATATTGTAACAAATATTTTCAAAATATGATGTTTTATAATGCAAGAGAGATTTTATTTGTTTGCAATTAAGATTTCAATATTTACTTAGGTTTTGTTTGTTTTTGCGTCCAGATACTTATTTGGATGTAAATGTTCAAATATTGTTCTTTTAAATATTTGGATACAAAATCTATAATATTTCAAAATTTGAATATTTAAGATGCTAAACAAATAGAGTTTGGATGCAGTATTTGAATCTCAAAAATTAAAAGACCAAAACACCTTTTAATTTAAACCATAAAATCAAATTTTTTTCTTTGTCAAAACTATCAAAATTTTCTATCGAAATAAAAAGCCGTATTTTCCCATTTTTCCGTAAAATACTAAAATCACGTTGTTGTACCATAATCGGGAATTCCCGTAGAAACTGTAAAAATAGTATTTTCCATCAAACAATATTTTCCTACCAAAACTGTAAATCCACATTTTTAACAAAATCAAAAATTACTAAAATCATGTTATTGTACCAAAATCAGAATTTTCCGTAGAAACTGTAAAAATAGCATTTTCCATCAAATCGTATTTTTTCCGAAACTGTAAATCTATATTTTTTTAACAAAACCAACATTTATGTTTTCCCCAACACCATAAAACTGTGACCAAATTTCTAAAATTACGTGTTTTTGTCAAACCTGCAAAATTGTGTTTCTCATCAAACCCGCAAACCTGTATTTTTTCAATAAAATCCATAAAACCACATTTTCCATCAAAACCTATAAACTCTGCCAAAACATGTAAACCACGTAAAATCAGCAAAATCATGTTTCTGGCCAAATCCACAAACCCATATTTTACGTAAAATTGTAAAATCCGTAAAATATGGTTTTACGACCAAATTTCTAAACTCATGTGTTTCTGCCAAACTTGAAAAATCGAGTTTTCAAACCCACAAATTCGCATTTTTCCGTATTACTATATTTTTCCGCTAAAATTTGCGAAATCCATAAAATCCGAAAAATTGTGTTATTTACATTCCGTAAGCCCGTATTTTTCGTAAACCCCATAAAATCTGCAAAATCATGATTTACGACAAATTTCAAAAATCATGTGTTTTTGCTAAATTTATAAAAGCATATTTTTTGTCAAACCGATATTTTCTCGTGATGTATATTTTCCGCTAAAACTTATAAAACCTGCTAAAATTTGTCAAATTCATAAAATCCACAAATTTATGTTTGTCAAATCCGCAAACCCATGATTTCCAGCAAAAAAATTATTAACAAACTAAAAAAAAATATTATTTTCATAATATGTATATATATAATAAAAAAATAATGATTACATATTTATCATTGACTATAAATTATCATTTTTAATAAATATTATATTAACTTTTAAATATTTTATAGTAGTGTTTCTTTTAATTGTATTGATTATAATATTATATATATTTAATTTATAATATAATATATATAATTATATTAATTATTCATGCCATATATATTTGTGATAATTATGTAAAATATTATAAAAAATTTGAAATAAATTAAATTAATTTAAATTTTATTAATATGAGATATAATTAATTAGTATTATCTATTAACAAACTAATATAATTTAATTTAGTTTAATATATTTTTTAATAATGATATGACTAAATTATCTTTAATAAATTAATAAAATTATCTATTATAAATATCCTGATAACTTTGGAAAATTTATTAAGAATATTCTCTTTCGATATCTTTGTGAATATTTCATTAACAGACAATTACAAGAATAAAAAATCTCGTAAATTTCGTGGTGGAAATAGGTCATTCACATCAAAACAAATATTTGACTTTATAAGAGGCAACTCGCCTCATTAACAAAGTAACCCAAAAAAAACGTACCATACAAAACCAAGTTCATGACCACAATATTTTTGGGTCTGATTTATTTTATCTGTTTTAAAAAATTAAGGGGAATAAAGGCTGCATATGATCCGCGCGAGCCTGTTCTATGCAGTACCTTCCTTCAAATAAGCAATGAGATCTGCACGATCTTGTGGCTTTTTCAATCCAGGAAACACCATCTTCGTCCCAGGAATGTACTGTAAACAAGCAAAGATAAAACAAAATTATGATTCAGTCTAAAGAAAGTTAACAGTTGTTCATAACTTAATATTCTGGATCAAGCCAAAGAAACAATAGATGTTCTACACACAGCTTATTATGTTTTGAACAATCAAGTAATCAAGTTCCCAACGAGAGAACGTAAATGATTATGATTCAGTCAAAGACTCAAAAGAAGGTAACTAAGAAAAAAGTTGCTCATAACTTAATATTCTTGAACAAAGCCATAGAAACAAATGGATCAGTTGTTTACATGTTGCACACACAGCTTATTAGTACATTCAAGTTTCATAACTATGGAGATTATGCACAAACTGAAATGGGTTTGTAGAAAATCAAACATTCAACAGAACAAATACTTGGATCATAGCATCAGAGATTCAAAGACTCCTAATTCGGTTTTTTTTTCAATAAATGATCCTCACATTAACCAAACAATTAGCATTAAGGAAAGAAAAAAGAAAATACCTTCTTAGGGTTCAACAAGTAATCGTATAGGGTCTTCTCCTCCCACATCACGGCCATGTTTTTGTTAGCGGCAGAGTAAGAATATCCTGGAGTTGTTCCAGATTGCCTTCCGAATAAACCATTCAAGTTTGGTCCTGTTTCCATAAGCAATCCCCAAATTCAAACACACATACGGATACCAAACATATTACGATGGTGCGATTCAACACAGACGAGAAACAATACACATGAAAACGCAAAGACCCAAAATCGATTCGGCGATGTTATATAACAAAAAATAGACATTACAGATGTTATAGATCCAGATCAGAACTATACGTAATTGATTAGATCTAAAACAGAATCCGATCTTAGGGAATCAAAAAGGAGAAAGAAAGGACGGACCTTGTTTGTGACCGGCACCTTTATCGACGGTGTGGCACTGCGCACACTTGGTTCTGAAGATCTTCTCTCCGGCCTTAGGATTTCCGGGAGGTGCTTCATCGAACGACGCCATTTGATCGAACGGTGGATTTTTTTGACGGTTTCTTTCCGAGCGAAGATTATTCTCTTTGAAAAGACCTTTCCTTCCTATATGTGTGAAAAGGGAGAATTGTTGTTAAAAAGAAGGTTCGAGGAAGAAGACCCTTCCTCGAGGAAAATGAGGTGGCGGCGTGAGAGAGCCACACAGGCCATACGTTTTTCCTGAGTCCACGTGGCTTTTGGGTAGTGGTTGATTTTGAGTCGGTTGACTATTTTATTCCTTTTTTAATATTTTATTAGATATTTACTTGCGTTATGTTATCCGATATTTTTTTAAATTTTATATATATTTTTAATATAATAAAATTATTTTTATAATTTAAATAAACATTGTATTTATTTTTTATTAGCTTAAATTATGTATTTATATATTTTAAATCTGAATAAACATTATATTTTTTATTTTTTAAAATTATAATTTGTTATTAAATTTAGTTAACTAACTAATTATAAATATATATATAGGAATTAAATATATAAAAATAAAGAAATACATTTTTAGTACTTTCATGTTAATGGCAAATGTAATCTATTTTTTTCAATAAATTGTCACATGATCCTCTTTTATAATTATATAAATCAAAATACCATTTAAAAAAATTATTAATTAATATGATTATTTTGAATTATAAAATTTATTTATTTATCAAATATTTCATTATAAACATATGTTTCTAAAACTACCAAACTATAATCAATAACATTCATATCAAAACAATTGCTATTGCTTTAGAACTAAATAAAAAATTATGTTTGAACTCTTAAAATATCGTTTTAGTTAAAGTTAAATAATTAAATTTTGGTTACTGTAAACATACTTTAATTTAGAAATTTAGCACATAGAAATTTCATCTTCTAAAAAACGTCATTTTCCCATTAAACTGAGAAATCGGCTATTCCCGCCAAAACCAAAAAATTCATTTTCTCGTCAAAGCTAAAACCTAAAATGTCATTTTTCCGCGAGAATCTGTGTTTTTCCACCAAAGCTGAGAAATTACGTTTTTTCACAAAAACCAAAAAATTTAATCTTCCTGCAAAAACCAAAAAAAAATTATATTTTGCCGCTATTATCAAAAAAATTATTTTTCTTGAGAAAACTGATAAATCATCTATTCCTGCCAAAAAAAAAAAATTATTTTCTCGTCAAGCCCAGAATCACGCTTTCCTACAAAAACAAATAAACTACAATTTCTCGCAAAAACCAAAAATTGCATTATCTCCCGTGAAATTGTATTTTCCCGCAAAAACTAAGAAATTGTTATGTTTTTATCGGTTCAAATTTTTGGCGATGTGCTTCTTATAACATAAGGCTTTTTGCGTTGTTGTCATGGAAGCATAATTGAGGCTGAGCCTACACTTTTTTAATCATATACGTCTATGTCAAACAAACAGATAGCTAGAATTTTTTTTATTATTTATTTGTTGTTATTTATTATTTGGATTTGGTTTTGGCTAAAAAAAAGAAAACAATGATTTACCTTTTTATTTGTTTTTATTTATTATTTGAATTTAGATTTGGTAAAAAAATAAAATAATATTTTTTTATTTGCTGTTATTAGTTATTTGGGTTTGGGTTTGGTAAAAAATAAAACAAAAATTAATAGAAAAAATATTTGGATTTTTAATGAGTTTAAGTTTAAAAATTAAAATAAGTAGATGAGATGTATTAATAAAATATTTTGATTGGTGATTATTTTTGCTGAGGTGTCATGTTTATAAAGCTTAAAAAAACTGAGGTGTCAAGCCATGGAGAGGCTTTAGTGTTATTGTTGTGTTGATTTCTTTAAAACTCGGTTTAGAAAGTGGATTTTGCTGTTGGGTTCACAGAGTGAGTATGGAAGCCCAAACTTTACATGCCATTGTCCTTGATCTATTTTATTGTTTTTGTTCACAATTATTTGTATTTTATTAAATAGATGAAATTATCCAAATATTTATGATAATAACAAAATAGATAAGTAGATAATCACATCTATTATTTATTATGTCGAGATGGTAGATTTTGTCCTTCTTTTACTGATCATTATGGTAAGTTCTGTTTTTATGATCAAAAAAATTATATGGTAGCCTATATATCTTATCAATGATAGACTGGAAAATTAAAACCTCAATCTTTATTAATTTATTTATTTATTGCGTAGATGATTAAAACTTCCATTTTTGTTCATTTATCTATTATAGAACCAGCAATTTTATGGTAGACTATGCCTCCTCATATTGCTTTTAATGCTCAAATTTTTTATTTTTTATTTAACAAATTAAGCTTTTATTATTCAGTTACAATGTTAAATCTGGCAAAGCTCAAAATTGTCGTCCTTGATATTTCGGAGAAAATTATATGACATGTGCAGTATGTGCGAAAATGCATCTAAGAAGAAACGGGCTTCTTGATATCATCAATAAGTCGAAACTAACATCATATAAGAAAAAGGCAAGAGCCATGATATTTTTACGTCATCATATCCACGATGGCTTAAAAGATGAGTACATCATAAAAAAAAGATCTTGCAGATCTCTGTCAATCACTAAAAGAAAGGTTTGATCATCAGAAATATGTGATCTTACCTAAAGCCAGACACGAGTGGTTAAATCTCCGATTTCAGGACTACAAAATGTTGGTAATTATAATTTTGCGATGTTTGGTATAACATCCAGGATGGTGTCATGTGGAGAAGTTATAAGAGATTCTCTCCACAATTCTTCGAAATGAAAGATCTTGGAAAGACAAAGTTGCCATTCTGGGGGCAAATATCTTGTGCATCCTCTTGGAGCATGTGTTTATGTGCTTGCATTATTTACCCTTCCGGGGCATATTTAATGTGTATTCCTTCGGGGTCCTTGCTTCTATGCTTCCATTATTTATCCTTTCGAGAGCATATTTCATGTGCATCCCCTTGGCGTCCTTGTTTTGTGCTTGCGTCATTTACCCTTTATAGGGACATGTTCCATGTGCAGCCCCTCGGGTGTCCATGTTTCTTTGCTTGCACCATTTACCCTTTTCGAGGTACATTGCATGCGCATCCCCTCAAGGGTCATATCTTGTTCGTGTTTTCTTAAAATCTCTTCATCACCATCGCTTGTGAAGTTCTTTTTTTTTACAATATCGATTTGAAAACCTCTAGATCGTTAAACGGATTCTGATCCATCCATTCGGCTTGCGTGGCTTCTTTTTTTTTCATTCGCCAGCTCTCTTCTGGGACCGTCGCGTTTCTTCATAAAATGCTCCTTCATGGACTTGCTCGCCCTTTGGGATACTGTTCCTCCATAAATCAGAGATTGCCTTTTCTGGGTGCTTCTCTTCTCGTTTTATGACAGGAAGGTGAAAGCATGATTCACAATAACCACCAAACTTTCTCGCGTAAGCACAACATGTAAAATGTTCTGGTAGTTTAGGACTGATATGATTGGAAATGGTGATCAATATTGGATCACCTCTTGAGAAATTTTCTTGTTTTAAACTCGTAGAACCTTTTGAGCTGCAAGTGCAAAGTGTGCATTGAGTACTTAGGGTATCGATCCATGGGGAGGTCAACTGCAAAACAAAAGAGTGTTCGAGCAACCAAAGATGTAAAAAGAGGGTTTGCAGGTAATGAAAGTATGGAAAGCAATCAACGTTTATATAACAAATGGGATAAGGAAACTTAACATAGTATAAAGGTAAAGACACTACAAAAATTAAATAGTTAAAAGTACCGTATTGAAGGTGCGCAATTGAAATAGCAATATTGAAGTGTGATATGGAAGTGCGTAAAGTGCAGTAAATCGATGGGGAACAAATGTATGGGGTCCTTCTGGGAATTCTTAGGTGTTTTAACTAGAGATCAAAACCTAACACAACCAAACAAGACTAGGTGATTATTTCCCTAACCTTGAATCATGGTTTTATAACCTAAAATCATGATTCAAGGTTTTATTAATAATTTGTCTATGCTTTAACTACTCTTTAGATTTGCAGTCACATCCTACGATGCAATCAATCTGATAACACCCATATTTTACCCACTTTTACTATCATAAGTGGATGTTTATTCAAGCATTTCACTAAGATTTTAATGCATAAACCTAAGAATTTTGTATGGTCAAAACTCTTTTCAAGAAAACAAAGCAAAAAAGATGCAAAATGGAGCAAAAAGGAAGATTTCCGAAATCAGTGCAAGATGGCACAAGTCCAGACCCAAATGAGACCTTACCACCACTTGATGAAGCTATATTTTGGTGACACGATAGACTGAACTACTACTTTTCATGCCGAAGTGATTTGAAGACAATCCCATGGTTGGATCTCAAGTTACAAGGCAAGGAAAAAGGTCTATAAGCAGCAGAAAAGCACCACGCCAGGCAAGTCCACCGCCACGCCACTAGCACTCGGTCGATGGACAGCTTTTAAAAGATGTTTTTCGAGCCCATTTGCACCCCAACTCATTTTATGAGCCGTCAAACGCAAGTATGACCTAAATGGACGAGCTAGAAGACTCAAGACCTATAAATACTTAGTCTTAGGGTTTTGCAAACATGTAGCTCTTTAGAGAACGAAATTTAGTACAAGTTTTGTAGCCACCAAGTTTTAGGCTTTATTCTTTAGGTTCTAAGGCAGCGAGAGATTTATCTCT